ATCCTGACTTAGTTTCTCAGGATCACAACTTAGTTTCTCAGGATCACAACTTAAGTTTCTCAGGATCACAACTTAGTTTCTCAGGATCACAACTTAGTTTCTCAGGATCACAACTTAAGTTTCTCAGGATCACAACTTAGTTTCTCAGGATCACAACTTAGTTTCTCAGGATCACAACTTAGTTTCTCAGGATTACAACTTAGTTTCTCAGGATCACAACTTAGTTTCCCAGGATCCTGACTTAGTTTCTCAGGATCCTGACTTAGTTCCTCAGGATACCGACTTAGTTTTTCAGGATCACAACTTAGTTTCTCAGGATCCTGACAGTTTCTCAGGATCCTGACTTAGTTTCTCAGGATACCGACTTAGTTTCTCAGGATCACAACTTTGTTTCTCAGGATCCTGACTTAGTTTCTCAGGATCACAACTTAGTTTCTCAAGATCCTGACTTAGTTTCTCAGGATCACAACTTAGTTTCTCAAGATCCTGACTTAATTTCTCAGGATCACAACTTAGTTTCTCAAAATCCTGACTTAGTTTCTCAGGATCACAACTTAGTTTCTCAAGATCCTGACTTAATTTCTCAGGATCCTGACTTAGTTTCTCAGGATCCTGACTTAGTTTGTCAAGATCCTGACTTAGTTTCTCAGGATCACAACTTAGTTTCTCAAGATCCTGACTTAATTTCTCAGGATCACAACTTAGTTTCTCAAGATCCTGACTTAGTTTCTCAGGATCCTGACTTAGTTTCTCAAGATCCTGACTCAGTTTCTCAGGATCCTGACTTAGTTTCTCAGGATCACAACTTAGTTTCTTAGGATCCTGTGAAAGTTTCTCATGATCCTGACTTAGTTTCTCAGGATCCCAACTTAGTTTCTCAGAATCACTACTTAGTTTCTCAGGATCCTGACTTAATTTCTCAGGATCACAACTTAGTTTCTCAGGATCCTGACTTAGTTTCTCAAGGTCCTGACTTTGTTTCTCAAGATCTTGACTTAGTTTCTCAGGATCCTGACTGTTTCTCAGGATCCTGACTTAGTTTATCAGATCCTGAGAAACTTTCATAGGATCCTGACTTAGTTTCTCAGGATCCCGACTTAGTTTCTCAGGATCTTGAGAATATACAAATCCTGAGAAAGTTTCTCAGGATTCTCTTTTTTTCTATCCATGTCCCTTCAAGGGCTCCGTAAAAAACAGCCTGTAACAACAAAAGCAAGCAAAAACCGAAAAGAACTGAATGAGGGAGACTTCCTAACAGAGGTGGGGACTCAAGTCATGTGACTATATATGCTGTATATAAAACAGTATATTCTATTTAGGATTTAGATCGTCGAAGCAAAAATCAAACACTATGGATTTTTATTAGCTTGATTTCACATCTTTAGATTTATGTTTTAAAAACAAAAACTTTTTTTATTTTGAAAAAATAAAAAACAAAACAAGTAAAGAAAGAACCAAAGAAACACATATTTTTAACTCCTACAGTATGGTTTTTCAAATGTTTAACTGTTTAATTGTTTAACTATCTCTGAATCTGAAAGTGGCAGTACTATTTACTGGTATTTAATGAAACAAATTAAACTAAAGTTTTTGTGCAGTACTGTTGAATCATTGCAAAAACTTGAAAATATTGGTCTATGTGAGCATTTGGCATTATTGTACAATAACAGCAGTGCTTTSAAGATTTTCTATTTTATTTGGGGTGAAAATGTTCAGTGAAACTTCAGCAAAATATCCTGTTGAATTTCATTTTTCCTTGTTTTTCTGTAACCGGTGTTGAGAAGATTTGTTCCCTCTATTTAGTCGATAAATTTTCCTAACATATAAATAATAAAATTTAATTAACACAGTGTTAAATACATCAGAAAGTCTAAAATCTGAAAATAAAAGAGACAAAACCTCTGCGAGTTACTGCAGCTCTCTATACTGGCAGCAAGTTATTTCTGAAACTAAATCCAAAGTCCTCATAAGATCAGAAAATGTGTTTGAATATCAACTCTTTTTCATATCCAAGAGGTTYCCTGCAGAGTTGCAGTCGCTCTTGTGGCCACCTGGTGTGACAAAGTGATATAATTGCAACGGCATTCCTCCTAAGTGACCATTAGTCTCTCAATGTATTGTGGTGATTGCAGTCTGTAATTGACTGATCGAGTGTCAAAGGAGTAGGCTGATTACGTAATGGAAGAATGGCTGTGAGCTATCAAAAGGGTTTTGTTAGGATGTACGAAAACAACAAGCCAAAGCAAATCAGAGGTTCTATCGAATTCAGACAGGATTAAGAACTCAGTTTAAAAATACGTTTTGATATTCGATCCTGCAGAAATGACTCTTGTGACCATACTTTTTGTATTCTTTCTTGAAAAAAAAAAGAAGGGAACTTAATGTTACTCACCCTTCCGATGATTTTCCCCTTCTCGTTCATGCAAATGTAATGTTCGCTCTCTTTTCCTTTTATTCGGACGTGGCTCCCAAAGGTTTCCGTCTCAACAACAAGAAGAGCTGGAAAAGAAAAACAATCAAATTAATTAAAGCCACACAACCACCAATGACACTTTATTGTAAAAAACTTTAATTAAAAAACCCAAAGCGTTCAAACTGAATGTCTAAATCATGAGTAAAACTGAAGGCCCACAAGCCAAATGTGGTTCAYCACTGCATTTTATGTGGCCCGCGAGAGCTCCAGAGATGTATTAATGTCTTTAAATATGCTGCTTTAAAGCCAGCAAACTACATCTCCCATAATGCATGTTAATTATTTTYCCCCCAAAATGACAGCCTCCCACCACCAGGTGGARCTGCACAGGTTTAAAGGCRAAATGAAAAACCTCCATTTCAAAGCATATTTTCACTGCGGCCCASTTCTACTGGGAAGTGGGAATTTCCCATTTACGAGTCGCAAATTTAAACTGRAACGCCCCCTGCAGTGGGAATTACCTGTTCGAAAGTGGGAGAGTTCAGAATTAAAGGTGGCGGCTACTCACCACAATTCAACAATGAGTACAATTCTCTTACTTTTACTAAATGKATTTCTGTATTTATTTCACATTTAGTCAGCCGTACAWGTAGTACTTTTCGGTGTTTATAAGAGGACATGTTAAAATGCTGTTTCTATGCAGAAAATACCATGTAGAGCTCAGTGTTTATAACAGGATGTGTTAAAATACTGTTTCTGTGCAGGAAATACCACATAGAGCTCAGTGTTTGCAAGAGGACATGTTAAAATGCTGTTTCTGTGCAGGAAATACCAGGTAGAGCTCAGTGTTTTTTAAGAGGATGTGTTAAAATGCTGTATCTATGCAGGAAATACCAGGTAGTGTTCGGTGTTTGAAAGAAGATGTGTTAAAATACTGTTTCTGAGCAAATTTCAAATCTAAGATTGTCATAGAGTTTTAAATGTTTAGCTAAAAATGTAAATGTCACGCTCCGAGTATGTATTGTGAATGACTCTCAGYCACTACCACACTGAATTTTTAGCTTATTGTCTGTGAAATTGATTGAAAACACCCATAATTGCCATCTTGGTGTTTTCTGGGGGACAGTTAACTGCTTTGCCATTTTGGCAGCTGCGGCAAAAATAGATTCTGCTTCACCAAATCCAATAATTAACACTTTTCAAGGTATGCAAGGTGCTCTAACGACATAAAATAAAACATATGAATCAAACCACCGTGCAGCCTGACACAGCAATAATCCACTCTTAAGACGTCTCCCAGCGGCTCGTTTATTGTTCGGAGCCCCCTCCCCCGGACACCCAACTCCTGCTCCCATCCTAAACGTTAACCCCTGCGAGGTCAGCTTTGTCTCCGCTCGCCCTCCGAGCAGCAAAGAGATCTGCCAAACGTTTGTGGAGCAGTTATGTGCCTCTGAGGATTGGGTTTCAAGTTGCCTTTAGTCTGTGCTCACTCAATCAAAAAGTTAAGATGATCCATTTGTTTAACACACAGGCCCATTCAGATGCGCTCAAGGGAGCAGAGGAAGAATAGTGGAAGGGAGCGAGAGGGGCTCGGGGGCAGAAGTAACCCCCCACCC